CTATAGATGGGGCTACTGATGGAGAGTGAGCTCATTTGCCCCAAAGAACCGTGGAAATGCTCAGGAATTAGAAGCGCCAAGTACTTCGGAAGGTAGAGGGTAAGGTGTGTGAGTGAGCGTGTGTGTGTGTGTGTGTGTGTGTGTGTGTAAGGAACAAAAGCAGGGGGTTGCTTGAAAGTGTATATAAGTAATAGTCAGATTCCCAGGTTATCATCCACACTCCATGTAGTCAGCCCCTCTCTCCCAACACTTATAGCAAAGGGGATGCTTTGGAGAAACTGGACCAGAGGCTGTGGACTTGAGGGCATCAGAAATATAGTAGAGTGAGTATGAGATGATATTTGAAGCAAGGTAAGTGATTTTCTGCATACTTAAAGGTAAAACCTCTTTCTCTTTCCGCTACTGGGTTTCAGAATAACAATAACCAGTTTTATAAACACTGGCAGGAGATGGAAGCATAGACAGTCTTAGGAAAAAATGTCTATGTCTTTGGAGTTACACAAAGAAAAAGGCAGCTGGCCACTTGATTGTCCTAGAGTGAAGACTATCAACCAACAAGCACTATTCATTCATATTACTTGAAATAGATATGAAAAAAATATGTAAATATATATACATGAAATATGCGTGCATGAGTGTATCACAGTGTCACAGTCAATAACGTAAAATACTGAAAATGGATTTAACCAGAATTTTTGAAAAAACTGTATTGGAAGTTTGGATTAGGAGAGAGTGAGGGAGTATAATTCCCTTTCTACCATAATAATGGATAATTTAGATAATCTCTACAATTGATGAATAAATAGCAAAGTTTGCATATTATTTGGAAATATGAAAGTAAATGTTAGAAGAAACGTAAGAATAAGAATTAAGTAGTTACATCTAAGAAGCAGAGCAAGATGAAGAGGGCAGAGGATTTTTGTTTTTGTTGTATGCCTCTAATAATTATGCAATATTTTAAAACTATGGACTAATATTACTTTGAGGAATGAGATATAATGTGCAGTTAGTAGTAAATTAGACTATTTCTTTTCAGTGGATAATTTTGAGAGTGGAACTTTAACTAAACACATTATAGGTAAAATAACCCTGTTTCTTTCCAGAAGGAAATAAATTGTCCTCTGTAAGCGTACTTCTCATACAGGAGCTAACTCTTTAATGAAAGATAAAGAGATTTCCCAGTAAGGTAATTCTGTGAAGACATTAGAACCCAGAGAAGGGAAATAGAAGACTATCTTTCAGTTGATGCATCTACTCTTTCTAAATTGCCTAGATATCTTTGCAGTAAGTGGTTATTATATACCTACAAATTCAAATGCTTTATTATTGAAGAATGTTGTTGAGCTATAGTCTAAGGAGATAAATTTAAAACTGTGGAATATCATGCAAACAAAAATATTTGCAAGTCTTTGATAAATACATTATTTCCTCATTAACTGTACAGGATGGAAAGTATTTTAAAAACACAATATCTCTTCATCAATATTAGGTTACACCTCTGACAGAAATCAAGACCAGTCACAGATACTAAATGGAGAAGATCTAAAGGGTCAGGAGACATAGGTCAGGGCTTTATTATCCGGTTATTCAATAGAAAGGCTGATTTAAAGATCCCTTTGAAGAAAAATGGATAGTTCTTTTTAGAACCCTCTTCTCAAGGAGTAACTAAACATTATGACTGAAGTGGAGATCCAAAGAGACAGGCTGGTAAATAAAATAAGTCAAATATATTCCATTTCCTCATAAATTTACAAAAACAAATTTTAATTTAACCGATTCATGTCTTTCCCATAAAAATGATCTCCCAGTTTAAGTAGGGATTCTCTCTACTATTAGATTATAAAGAGATCTTAAATAAATCAGAATAACCAGATGTGATGAGAAAATCTCTAAGTCCAGAAATTTTGATAAAGTCTTTAAACCATGATTCTGTTTAACACCATCTTTCACCAGCTTTGCAAGATATGTTAGTAAAAAAAGGGTTTCATCGATTTTTTAAAGTAGGCTCCACACCCAGCGTAGAGCCCAATACAGGGTTTGAACTCATGATCCCAAGAACAAGACCTGAGCTGAGATCAAGACCAGATGCTTAACTCACTGAACCACCCAGGCACCCCTCATCAAATATTTTTTAAAGTCATGTCATTCCTGAAGAAATAGAAAGGATCAAAACAAAGCTATACAATCAGCAATAATTTCAAAGTATAACAATGTCTCAGCATGTCTGTAAGGTATACTGACATAGTATTTGGAGATTTTAACCTTGGATTTGTCTCTGACAATCATTCTACACTTCTCCACCGGTTAGATAATGGCGTTCATTGTTCAATGAGGGCAGACACTACCTACAAAGAAATAATTCAAATAATTTAATTGAAGGGCTGAATGGATTTTTAAATTCACACGTAGCAAAAGAGTCTGAAATTGCAGCATTTTGGATTTGTATGAACCAAGCCTTTGACATAGAAATGGCTTTGTTTTGAATTCAAAGAGGGCTTGCTTCCAAAGTTTGAACCGAATTGGAGGACCAGAGTTAGGCTTTATAAAAAGTAACCACAAAGTAGAGAACAATAAACTCTATGACTCATGGGCAGTTCTTCAAGCCCCAGGCAGGAAAATCAAAGAAACTTCCTGGGCTGAGAGAGAGGAATCAGAGAAAGAGGGAAAGGAGAGCCAGAGAGCTAAAATGTCCAAAGGGGCTTGCTCCCAGCCCCTTCTGGGAGCAGTCAGACCTGCGGTGGGGGGACAGGGTGATGGAACTGAGTTCAGTAATCAGAGCAGAAGGATCCTATGCCTCACTTCCCACTTGAGACCCTACAAGGACACCCTTGCAAAGGGCCCATGCCACCATGGGTAGCCTCAGCCGAGTAGAAATGGTACTATGATATGTTTGGTAGATGAAGAGAGCCTGAGCTGTTGGTCCCCTATGACTTGGACAAGATTCATATTCCCAAGTAAAACTGGAACCCAGGGGGCACAGACCAGGTGTGCTAAATGGAGGTACACACAGGATAACGGGTGGAAGAAAGGAAAGAATGTGCTATATTTAAAATTTCTTACTTGGACTCTGAATAGTTAAAAAAAAACATACCTGAATCTATTTTCAGAGAGATAAAGACATGAAGCATTAAGCAAAATCATAAAGCAAGTGGAGCTTAGAGGATACTTGGAAAGACTTGGATTTGGGAAAAGAGACAAGATTTTATTGCTGGGCTTGAAAGAGAGCCCATTGCTAGGGACATGGAAGCTGAGAAGGCCTGGCACATGTTGGGGAAGCAGAGAGGAAACAAAGGGATGTCACATTGGTCTGGGGAGAGTGTTAGCTAAGAGGTGCCCACAGCCTTTTCTCAGTCACAAGCCAAGGGAGATACTCCCTCTAGCAGGGAGAAGAGGACTTTGGGTTGAAGAATCAGCCCACACTTTTTGTTGTTCTCATGGAAAGACAACAGCTTGCCTTATTCCTGGGAAGTGAGGGCCACCATGTATAATCCTACTTGAGGTGGGGGTCATCCATACAGACTAGGACAAACAGGATGCCCAGGGCTGTGCAATGTACATTCTGTGCTCCTCTACTTTGGGGCCCTGTCCCAAGCCTGCCTGAGGCTTGCCTCGCATTAGGGAGGTCTGTCTACATCATTGCTCAAGCTTCCTGAGAGCTGGAGGTTAGTGCGAGAATAAAGGAAAGCCACTGATAAAGGAATGTGAGGATTTTACTTAAGACCAACATCACCAAGGTACACCTAGAGGGCCTGTAGAGAAAGATACAAGACAGACTCTACACAGAAGCCTTCTGGAACTGGGCACACCTAAATGAGTGTAAACGTCTTTGTGGGGACCGTGGATAATTCACTAAGAGAAGAAATTTTGGAATTTGGAATTTTGCATGCTACTTGGAAATTGTAAATGAATTTTTTGTTTTCTTTCCAAAAATGGTAGAAGTTGCCTGAGGATTCTTCACTCATTAGAATGGCACTCACTACTTCAGGGAAAGGCCCTATTCAACCAAAACAAAGAAGTCCACTGAAGGGCTGAAAGGTTGTGTGTATGTGCGTGTGTGTGTGTGTGTGTGCATGCGTGTACATGCATGTGTGTCTGTGTTCTCTGTGTGTGTGTGTGAGTGTGAGTGTAGAGTCCACATTGCCTGAAACCCTGCGTGTTTAGTATGTTTGAAGTTTATGGTTGTAATGACTCAGATGGAAAGAAATGTAACTTTTTTAAATTGTCAATAAAAATAGAAAGAGCCCCTCATTTCTACAAATGGTGGGAAACATTTCATTCTGTCCTTTTAAGGTAACTCAGACATCTCCAGATTAGAAGTTCATTTCTTTTGCAAAAATAACTGAAGTGTGGCAGAGTATCTCACCCCTAAATATGCCACTTTGGCGTAAGGATTATTTTGAACTGAAGGTAATTAAAAAGCAGATATAAAAAAAAGCTCTGCCTTCCCTCCCCCTATTTGCCTAAAAACAAGACATACATTTATAAAGGTGTCCCTCCTCCTCTCACTACCAGGAAGGACAAAAGTTAATCTCTGGAGACTTTAGACCTGATCAGCCTGGAGATGTCTCCAGAGGAATTTATATAACAAACTTTACTACCTAGCCTTTATCTACCATTAGTTTCCCATATATTTGCCCCCACAATTTGCCACCTCTGGACAATAAATGTCCTTTTCTTGTCACTTGTCTAAAGCTTTTTTGTTCCTTCGCTAAGATACTATACAAAGTCAATTTCTAACCAAAGCTTTGAGTTGCTGGGGAGGGGGTCTCCCATGTATTACATGCATGATACACACGTCAATAAACTGTTTTTCTCTTGTTAATCTGTCTCTTTTTATAGAAGTCCTAGCTAAGAACTTAGAAGGGTAAAAGGAAAATTATTTTTCCTCCCCTGTATAACCAATTTACGGTTCAAATGTAGTTGATCCAAAGTCAAACTCCATCTTTAGGCTTTTCTAAATCTTCCTACCCTTTGTCCCCAGGGCTGTGCTCTGAGTGCAGGTGGCAGGTGACACCCAGCCAGTGCTATTTTGTGGGGAGGAGTGTCTGGCCTACCTGCAGATCTGCTGGCCTTTGCGTCTTGCTGGCCAAAGGTGACACCTGCTCAGCTAAGGTGTCTTATTCTCTGCTGGGTGCACCACTGGCTACCACCTGCTTGGACCACCTGCTGTGTGGTCCTGCCGGCACGTGGTTGGAAGCCTGGGGTACCTCTTTGGCTTCCCTGCTCCTGGTGGATGCCATCCTCAACGGGAGTCCAGTAATTCCCCCAGGAACACCCTCTCAGCAGTTTTGTAGCCCATATGGAGGCCTTGGCCTCTGGTTCTTGTCCAGGACACACCCAACCCCAGAAAACCCACAGAAAACCACAATCACAGATTGTTTCTGTGCCTAAACACCCTACCCCACCATTTCTACTCTATTGTCATTCCTATGTTGATGTGGGCCATTCTTTAGGGTGGCATCCTTCCAAATTTTCAGACAGAACCTAGCATATGAGCCCCCTGCTCGAGGAATCTCAAGCTTGAGGTTCTTTATCCCCACCTCACCCCATGCACCATAGTCCCTCCCCAGCCTTTCCTCCAAGCTCCCTTTCCCAAGCCAGGAAGGATTTTTATTGCCTTTTTGTGTGACAGGAAATTGCCATGACCTCATGTCCTAAACCCTACGGTTTATATTAAAAACTCTAAACTTGGCCCTCCGTGCTTTGGATCTAGAGATTTAAAGAGAATGTTTTAGAATTTAAAAATAAAACAAAGCAGAACAAAACCTTGTTCTATCTCAAACGGCTGGCCTTTGTAGTCCGTGTGCAGATCCCGGCCTGTTTGCCCTCCAGTCTTACCCTGCCCTGCCTCTATCCCTTCTCTGGTCCGGGAGCCCCAGGGCTATAGGCCCTCAGGGTGGCTGGTTCTGGCTCAGTTCAGCCCCTGGGCAACAATGGCAGGAGGTAGGGCAAGGGTAGGCAGGGATAAGTCTGACTATTTCTCTCTGCTGCAGCCGTGTCTCTAGCAGGACCTGCCTTACTCCAGCTGTGGACCTAGCTCCCTGCAGGAACAGTCTCCTCTGTTACCAGTCTTGCTGATGTTCATGGCTGGGTGACTTCACCTCTCTTTGGTTTCTCACTTCCTCCATCTCCCGTGAATCCAGTTACCTATATTAATTCTCCTCTGTTGTAAATCCTTAGGGGGGTTTCTGTTTTCCTGTTTAGACCTCAACTGTACACGCAGCCTTTGAGGCTCTGAAATGCGTGTCAAGAATTAAACAATGACTCTTAGCGTTCCCGCTGTAAAAATCCTGATCCTTCTTAAGGCAATGGAGGCTAAACTGGGGGCAGAGTCATGGACAAAGAGGTACAAAAATAAAAAACACATGCACATATTTTTTAAAGATTTTACTTATTTTATTTGAGAGAGAGCGAGAGAGAGAGCGGGAGAGCAGCTCAGGGAGAAGGAGAAGTGCCGGCTCAGCAGGGAGCCTGACGTGAAGCTCAATCCCAGGATGCGGGGATCGTGACCTGAGCTGAAGGCAGACACTTAACTGACTGAGCCACCCTGGTGCCCCACATTCACATATTTTTAAATTATCTCACCACCAAAGCCTCCACAGTTATTGCATTTATTGTATTGCTACTTTGATAGACATTTTTGCTGTCCTCATATAATCATGGGGCAAGGTTCTCAGGTATTCCAATAGTCATATGATCTTTCTTGGGTCCTACACTATGACTCTTACCTCTCACAAGAGATTATACCCCTCACAACTCACTCGGCTCAATGAGGTAATGGCACATATACTTAGTTGTAACAAAATTGATTTTATATACTAACCAAGGTGGGTGCATGAAAGTTTCAGAACCACAGTGTGTGATGACTAGTAATGACCAGTCCAGCAAAGATACTAAAATCTGCAGGTCCAAATGGGCAGACACAGAGATCACACAAATCAAATATCTGTGGGGCCAGACAGGAAACATAAATGAAAAAGTAGATCCTGTGTATTAAATAAGGGAGTAGTGGAAACTAGAGAGTAGTTATGTTATTGAACAGGGAAGTGGTCTCTACCCAGCTCCAGCTGATTATCCCATGTTAAAACGGGAAACTTTTGTTATGAAATTTTACAATATTTGAAGAGAAGCCAGAAATCTACATTTCATGTGAAAATCTCATGATCTGTAAAGTAATATTAAATACCTCAAAAATTTTACATTGTGAAAATTTATTTATTTATTTATTTTTAAGATTTTATTTATTCTTTTGAGAGAGAGACACAGCGAGAGAGGGAACACAAGCAGGGGAGTGGGAGAGGGAGAAGCAGGTTTCCCGCAGAGCAGGGTGCCCGATGCTGGGCTCGATCCCAGGACCCTGGGACCACGACCCTAGCCAAAGGCAGAGGCTCAACGACTGAGCCACCCAGGCGCCCCTACATTGTGCAAATTTAAATAAACATGCCTTGCTCTAGATAGGACCTCAAGTCACCTAATTGGACATTATACTCTGGAGCAATATATATTCTGCATTCAAATAATGCTGTCTCAACTCAAAAATATTTGTGGATATTTTAGAATTACCTCCATACTATGGTTTATTCTTTTGAATATTCTCATTCGTGTGAAATATACATTCTTTAATGTAGGCCAAATTTTTGAAAATAGCCAAAATAATAATAATAATAACATGCATACCTTGTATAAACAGAGAAAAAGTAGGGCTAGTGAATTAGGTTTATTTTTTCTCACTTTTACTGCCCTCATACATGTTTACTTGTCATATCTTTGAGTTTTAGTAATATCTCTGGTATCTCAATGCTACCAACCCAGTTCAAGTAATGAACTCTAGTAAACCATTCCAATAACTTCCCATTTCTCTGGGCTCCCAGGCTTTCTTATATGCATCTTATTATAGAGCAGCTAACATGTACCTAGCACAACGCTAGGGACTCAAGGAAAAACCAGAAAAAATCTCTGCCCTCAAGAAATTCACATTCTAGAAATTCTAGTAGGTATGAGGGCTGCGTCTTAATCTCTTCCTCTCTGCATTTAAAATAACATAGCCCTGTATTTCAAGTTTTATCTTTGCCAAGAAAACTGTACTATTTGGTGTTCCATGAACACATTACCATGCTTTTCTGCCTCTGTGTTTATTTATGGAGCACTCTCCACACCGGCCTGCTGAAATGCTACTTGAACTTCAAAACTCAAATTCTACCTCATCCAAAAATCTTCTGCTACCTTTGAGTTATTTTTTCTTTTGCGTTCCTACAGAACGTCTTGTCTGTATTTTGACATTTACATTCTGCTTTGAAATACAGATTCTTGAGTTCTGTTCTCATCCCCACTAGATGACAAGGACACTTGAGCATCATCTGCATCTTATTTTTGATCATCTGCAGCACCTACCTAGCATTAAGCTTTGCGCAGAGTAGGCACTGGTAAGTTCTTTCTTGTATTGATGAGAAGGTGAGTTCTCCATCTAGTGGTAAAACTGAAAAATTGCATGCAACTTTTGCTTTCGGTAACACAATTATGATTAAAATACCCCCCCAAAAAACCTCATTGATAATACAGATTGCTTAAGCTTTGATCTATATTGAGGAATGCACTGTGTTACTTCTCAAGCAGATATAAAGTTCTCTTAAAGAATGTTTGATCGAAACATTCAAATCAAGGGGATCCTGGGAGGCTCAGTTGGTTAAGCATCTGCCTTTGGCTCTGGTCATGATCCCAGGGTCCTGGGATAGAGCCCCTCTTTGAGCTCCCTGCTCAGCGGGGAGTTCTCCCTCTGCCCCTCCCCCTGCTCATGCTTTCTCTCTCTCTCTCTCAAGTAAAATCTTCAAAAATTTTCAAATCCAAACAAAATCAAACATCAAAACAAAAATAATTGTCCAACAAATTTTTCTAGGTGATAAAAGGTGATACAAAGAATCATATAGATCCCTTTAAATGGGTAAATTTCCTTTATTAAGTCTAGATAAGTGTTACCATTGCTTTCTGACCCATTACATAAGAATCTGAGTAAATTCAGATAATCTCAGACTCCTCTAGTTCAGCAAACTTGTATTTGTGGGAATTTGTGAACTAAAGGATTCTCTACAAGTTCTGACTCTTAGTACAATTCTAACTGTTAATCATTCAAGGACAGGTCCAGAAAAGTTAAGGTTACCACTCTGAAATGTAGGGTTTTGTATTTTTTTAAAGATTTTATTAATTTATCTGTGATAGCGAGAGAGCACAAGCAGGGGGAGCTGCAGGCAGAGGGAGAAGCAGGCTCCCCGCTGAGCAGGGAGCCTGATGCGGAACTCGATCCCAGGACACTGAGATCATGACCTGAGCCAAAGGCAGATGTTTAACCAATTGAGCCAACCAGGTGTCTGAAATGTAGGTTGTTAACAGAAGTTTTTACAGCAGGATTTCTAGTAGATCAGGACCTACCCAAATATCGAGAGGTTTTACTTGACAGGTTTTACCTGCTTGCTGCTTTCATATGACACTTTCTCCTTATTCTCTTTTCCCCAGGTTTAACAGGATTTCAGGAGACAATAGCTCTCATCAGCAATGGTGTCCACATGTGGTGATTTGAGACCTGAGAAAATGTTTGGTAACTCATAAAACAGTTTGGAAACACTACTTCGGCATTTGGTATCTTTATTTTAAAATGGGCTTTCTAAAAACAAAGAAAAAAGAAAGTTAAGGTCATTTTGACATTGGGGCTAAAATAAAATTACGATATAATGCTTTCATGAGATTAATTTTTATATGTCATAAATTTTATTTGTAGACATACATTCTAGTTCTGCTCTATTTAGCACTTACAATTACTAGGCAAAAATGTCTGAAATTTGACTACAATTTTTGTGGTATGGTGATAGATTAAAAAACGATTTTCAGCTCTTCTCATCAATAAGGTAAGAAGAGAAACTACTCAGTTCTCTGCTAGCTCCCCATCTCTTGAATCCGGTTTGCTATTTGACTTGCTTTGACCAAGGGAGGGGAGAGACACTGAAGATTGAGTTAGTTACCAATGGCCAATGATTTAATCAATCATGCCTACAAAATGGAACCTTCATAATGCCTAAACTATCGGTTCAGGGGTGCCTGGGTGGCTCAGTCAGTTGAGGGTCTGCCTTTGGCACGGGTCATGATCTCAGGATCCTGGGATGGAGCCCCATATTGGGCTCTCTGCTCAGTGAAGAGTCCACTTCTCCCTCTCCCTCTATACTCTCTCTCTCAAGTAAATAAATAAAATATTTTAAAAATAAATAAAATATGGGGTGCCTGGGTGGCTCAGTTGGTTAAGCGGCT